TCCATTCTACCTTGTATTTTAATAGCAATGGAAAAATCAGGGCTATTAAGTTTGTTTTAAAAATTAAATTTAGAAGTTGTGAGAGAAAATCAATTGAATTAAACAAAATTTTAAATTAGCTTTAAAAGTTATACACACAACCCTAGAAACAAATACACAAACTAATTCTAAATGTCAAATAAAATGACTACATAAAGCATCTATGAAAATACCCTAAACTAACCAAGGACAAAAGGTGGCAAGAAGGTAGAAGATGATTAAAGAGCACTTGGAATGTAATGAAAAACACATAAAAGGTGTTTATGAAGAATGGTTTGATACTAATGATTTAATAATAACACAGTGGAAACATGTTTTCCTACATATACCATAAATGTGTAATAACCACGTCTTTCTACTTTATGTTCTTGGTCACTATCTCCCAAAACCAGCCAAAAGTATTCATGTCTTCAATCTTCTGAGGAAAATGGAGCATGGAAAATAAGATAAAGAAGCCCTCTACTGCTTTAAAAAAAAAAAAAAAAATCAAACTAAACATCAACTGCCTGGAATCTCTGTCAGGGATAAGGCAAGACATGTCACTAAGTAAATAAACACCAAAGAAATAAAAATTAATTTGGTTACTGTAATACCAGTAGTTTGTGGTTTTAACATGAAAAACTTCTTTGATTAAAGATTTGAAATTTGCTGCATCATCAAATCAGTGATCTGTTAGTACTATTTCCCCAGAGTTAATACTTAAGATCACATAATACTTTTATGACAAAAATAAAATGATAAAAAAATTATTAAGATGACTTACTTTCTTCTTTCTTGCTAATAATTGCAGGCAGGGTGTAAATCTAAAAAAATAAAGGATGTCAGTCAGTTACTTGGAGTTAATGACTCAGCACAAAAGATTAGCAAAGTGATGTTTGAACACGAATATGCAAAGAAGTGTCTTGATTTCAGGGTTCTACTGCTGTGTCCACAGTGCGATCTGTCCACCCTGTCAACCAATCTCCTCCCGGTGGTGAAGCAAACCCTGCCTCCCATTCTTTTCCATCCCTGGCTGTCCTGCCCTGCACAAAGTTCTACATTTTACGCATCTCGTATTCTTGCCCAACATGATGTACAATACACCTTCTTCAGGAAGTGTCTCATGATGGCTTTCATTCACTTGATTGCTTCTTCCTCAAATTATGTGCTTAGTGTTTTGTTCTCAATGTACACAGTCCTCACTTGTACGCTGCTGCGCTAACAAACTTCCTTAAATTTGCTATAGGTCAGGGTTTCTCAACTATTTGTGGTGGGCAGCCAAGTTTGCTTTTTTTAAAAAATCTGTCATTGACATGTTCATAAAATATAATAAAATTGAAATAGAAAGCAATACAGAATAGATGCAGAGCCCCAATTTTTTATTATTAAATTCAACAGACTTAAAATGATTTCTTCAAATAGCTGTACAGTTTTCTAGAGGCTTAATCATAATTTCTGTACTCATCTTATTGTGGACTGGGAATGCAGTTTGAGGGAGAGCCTCAAAGTCTGCAGATCATACTTTGTACAGCACTGTTGCTTCATGGGTACTTTGCTCAAGGTTGTTCAGAGGTTCTATGTCATCTAAAGAATGGTTCATTTTTAAATGATAGGAGGGGCCTCCTATTTATTGTGTGCTCACCACTCTACCGATCTAGTTCATTAAGAAAACAGTGATGAATAATTCAACTTTTTTACATAAGCCTCCCTAATATTTGTAAATAAATTATCATACCCAATATCAAAATCATTATTAGAAAAATGGGAATATGCATGGAGTGAAAAAATGTCAAGACACAGGCAGTTTTATCAAATTATACTTTTAAAAAATAGATTAAAGTATCAGTTCTGACCTTGATCACGATGGCTAGCACAGGCCTTGCAAAGATTGGGCATACAATAATTATTAACTGAATAAAATGATCTAATGAGTGCAGCCAAATTAATGATTATAAGTAATTTAAAAAAAAATAATTTTAAGGTTTTAAATTGGTCCTAGAAGCCCCTCTGAGAAACAAATTAGAAAGTTGTAGTTAAGTGCCAGTGAATAAGATAATAGTAAATGTATTCATTGCTCTGATTTGCTGTTTTAATATTTTCAATTACACTACAGACATATGAAAAGAATTTCAGACATTCTTAATAATTATGATAACAATAAAGCCTAAGTTATAGAATGTGTCATATCCTTACCGGTTCCTTCCCATCCATGGCTTCAAGCCAGAGTTTCCTATTAGCTTCTGAGAAGGCCTGTAACGTGATGATCCCATGCCTAATAAAAACAGGTATTTTATATATTCAATTTATTCCTGCTATACCTTTATACATTTACTACTTTTTAAATTCTTAGTTAACTATAAAGGTGAAATTTGACTTTAAAGAAAGGAAAGAGAAAAAAGAAATATATATAGAGAGAGAAAAAGTGAGAATAAAAAAAAGAAGAAAAAGAAAATGATCTACGGGTACCTTTCAGAAAAATCACTGAGGACACACACACACACAAATGTCTTTAATTCAAATGATCACAGGTAGTAAAATCATTAAGTGTTTTAGGTATAAGACTGTCTGAAAGAGGCTTGTTTTAAATTACTTCCCCTAATAGGACCAAATGGATGACAAAACTATACTTGCTACAGTTTAAAGCCATCTAAATATTCCACAATAAGACTGTCTGAAAGAGGCTTGTTTTAAATTACTTCCCCTAATAGGACCAAATGGATGACCAAACTATACTTGCTACAGTTTAAAGCCATCTAAATATTCCACAATATGAGAATGATTAAGTTTATGACCTGGATGTGGTATAATCTAGTTAACTAAAGCAATTACAATGAGGATATAGCAATATAAAAAGCCTCATACCATCACTAGTTGATAATTAAAACGATCCTAAAACCAAAGCGTTTATTTATACCATGATCACAATATTAAAATTAATTCATTTAAAAAACAATTCTCTCCCATACAGTCATTCTGAAATAATTACTTGAGGATGAACTTCAAGAGAGAAGGAGCAGAGGGAGGGAGTGAACCAATGTAAAGAAAAAAAAAATTCCATGGAAGCAAGTAATGAAACTTACAAAGGAATTAAACTACTTAAACAGGAAATTAGAGGACTCCGTGAAGAATATCAAGAAGAAAATTCCGTCATAAATACTATAAGATAAAAATTTGGAATGACTTAGAACTGATAATGAAAACTACATCTCTTCTGTGAACAAAAAGAACAGATTAGAATGATGGGAAAAGCAAAAACGAATATAAAGATCAAGGTGATTTGATGATGGAGAATTTAAGCCAGTTTAACAATACCAATAATAAAATTAATAATGACAATCAATATTTGTTGGTCATTTACTTTGTGTTCAGGCACTGTGTTATGTTTCATTTACTATCTCGTTTAATCGTTGCAACAACCCTTTGAGGTGGGAACTTATTATCCTTTTTTTACAGATGAGACAACTAAAGAACAGTTTAACAACATGCCCCAAGGTTATCTAACTAGAATGTGCTAAAATAAAACAAGAGAAAGAACTTGTTTGTATAATGTTAGTATTTGTCTACATAAAGAATCCAAGTCTCTACCATCAAACTACTAATACTAATAAGTTCAGCAAATATGCTAGATATGAGATTGATACATAAAAAAAAAAATTAATAGCCTTTCTATACACTAGTCTCAATTATTTAGCAAAAAAAAATTGTACTTGTGAAGAGTCCTATTCAAAATTGCAATAAAAAGAAGGTACCCAAGAATCAATCTAAAAAAAGAGATATGTGAAATCTTCAAGAAGAGCTCCTCTCTTCATCATTTAATTAATAACTTTAATGCAACTCCAGTCTAAATCCTAAAGGATTTTTTAAGAGAGGAGGGGAAACTAAATAAGCAGATCCTAAAAATTATAAGAACACGGGGCCAAAATAGCTAACACAATTTTAAAAAAGCATAAGAGTGGGGGTCCTTGCCCTAACAGACAGCTATAAGCTATAGTATGTGAGTATATAAAGTATGTCATCGTATATACAATATGCACACGTACACACACACACAATGAGCTAGAGTATTCAGAACGATATGATAGTAGTGCAGAGAAGAAACACAGGCCATAGGCTGTCCTGTTAGTGCAGCTGGTTAGAGCGCAGCCTTGTAACACCAAGGTCACGGGTTCGGATCCACATGCCAGCCACCAAAAACAAACAAACAAAAAACCAGAAGCAGAGAGGAAGAAGCATGCTCCTCTTATCTTCCTTCTACTTATATTGATACAGTAAAGGCGTAGAGCTAAAAAAATTACACTAAAAAACTCAGATGCATTATATTTATATCTCTCCCAACATCCTATGGCTAAGAATGACCAGAACCATGCTTTGCACCTGGTAGTCCTCTCAGAGGCATTGAACTTAGTTGGCTGAAGGAAGCTCATGGTATCCCCACCTGTGTCTTCCTGTTCCTTGGAAGCAAAGCCACCAGACTTCAAAAGTCTACAAAATAGCTGATGCTGGAGCCATGAAAAGTGCTGTCAGGTCCTTCATTGTGATGGGGACCTCAAGTCAACTACATACACTTTGCCCTAATACAGTTATATATACTGGTTTTCCAAATTCTTCGAGTAATACTGGCATTCTGTGTATGACTTGTTTTTTTGAAAGTATCATGCAATAAATATCTGTTGACTAAATATTTGAAAGAATGAAATAAACATGTATATTGTTTTTGGGAACAATTTTAAGGATGCTAGAGATGGGGGGAGAAAAAAGGGGAGTTTGGGAAGTGATAGGTCGGGCAAAGGGCATAAAGAAATATGACGATTTGTAAGAATGAATATGCTAATAATAAATTTAAAACAAAAAAAAGCCTGAAAAATAAATGTTTGTATGCTATTTCATGTTTAAACATAGAAACATAAAATATAAAGTGAAAAGAAAACCTCAAACCTTTCAACTACTTCTATGTCAAAGCAGAATCGTTTGTCAATTGAATCTGTCTTTCGTCGGATACAAGACTTTAATTTAAACATTTCCGGTGAGCTAGTAACAAGGCCATTCTGAAATACTACTTCTATGTCAAAGCAGAATCGTTTGTCAATTGAATCTGTCTTTCGTCGGATACAAGATTTTAATTTAAACATTTCCGGTGAGCTAGTAACAAGGCCATTCTGAAACGAGAAGGGACCACATTATTAACATGATGACAAAGTGAACTGAAACATGTTAAATACACGATGTAAACTGCCACATCAAAATGTTAACTTAGAGTACAGGTCATATATAAAGATCATAATCACACTTTTTTTTTTTACTAATATTAGCTGCCCAATTATAATAATCTAACCATTTACCAATAAATTAACTGAATATACATATATACATGTTTTATTTCAAAGAATTATGTGAAATCATTTTTTAAATTTTTACTGCATACCTGTGCAGTACCCTTTAACATATTTACTTACAATGTCCAATTAAACTATAATGTACCCTCTCTTAGAACTTCAGATTTAGAAAAGATATGAAATTATACAGTTCTGCAACATCACAACTGGATACACGGAATGCTTGTTAGGATACAACACTATTGCTTCTAATCAAATTCCCTACATTACTAAGAGGTTAGTACCCTGTGTGCGTCTGTCTTTGCATTAGAGCCCTATACAGTAGTATTAAATGATAGCTAGATCAAAGTCAAGAGAGCTACCAAAATAACAAAGTTCTAGTATGTACTTGCTATAATGCTATTGCTACCATACATACCATGTGATTGCTTTGCTGATAACCACTTGCTACTCTGCTACTAAAACTGAAACTCTTTGTACAGGATTTAACTTAGGCCCGATTCATAGGAATTCTCTTCTACATCTGAGATGCCAGTCTATTTTAAGGGGAAAGTTCACCCAACTTTGGTTAATTCTATCTTTGGTTGCCAATCTCATAGATTTATTAATAGAACTTTGGCTTGGTTTATTTACATGATTAACTCAATGAATGTCACATAAATTGAATTTTTGGCAATACCTACTATAGAGAGTAGAAACTAGGTGTGATTATGACACTTAATAACTTCTCATCGTGGTAGCAATCTAAGGTTTCTTTTTCTCTGGTACGGTCTACCTTTATTTAATGTCTTTCAGTTTGAATCATTAGCCTCTGATGAATGCCCAAGTACAATAAGTTTCAGCTGATGCATTTGAGTATATGTCTAAGTTAGGTCAACATTTACTTCTGCCACAATCTATACCACAAACTAGTTGGGTGAGTCACTTTCTGTTTTCTTTTTCTTTGGCAGCTGGCCGGTATGGGGATCTGAACCCTTGACTGAGGTGTTACAAGGCTGTGCTCTAACCAACTGAGCTAACTGGCCAGCCCTATTTTCTACTTTATTTCTTAATCTGTTAAATTAAAGCAGGACAAAACTATCTTTAGGATAGCTTCCAGCTCTAGGATTCTTAGATCATGACCTAATGATCTAATTCACAAGATCAACCATTTGCCATATTCATATCTTAACTCACAAAACAATTTTATACAACATGCAGTAAAGCTCCCTGCAGTATTTCCTTGAATAAAGCACAATGTGTTCTATACTGTTCACTAGCCATGCGAAACATTCAGTGACCAGTTTACTTCTGGGGTAAATGATCATCAGTTCGTTTCTTCTGAAAAATCTTGTGGGCCAGCACTTTGGTAAACAGTACACAGTGCAAAAGAGGAAATGGCACGCTGGGAACAAATGTAACCTCCCACAGAGGCCATCTGGGGGGAAAAATGCAGAATCCCTGGGCCTGGTCTAGCCACTGTCCCTTCCTGCACTGCTACCAATAAACAGCACAAGTAATTCTGCTGCTGGGGCTGTGAGATGACACCTCAGCAATCTATTGAAGGTTCCCCACATTTAACTCAACTGCTTATAAACATTTCAAAGCCAAGGTGATGGAAAACACTGGCCACTCTTTTTAGGTGTTAAGGTCAATAAAATGAGAGAAAACATTTTGACTTTTCAATTTTTAAAAATACGTACATATTACTAGAAAAGCACACATGATTTTTAAATTTCTATTACTTAAACAACAATCTTAGTTTTTAAAAAACAAAAACCAAAAATAACTCACCATTTTCCCACTGGATTTCATTTCTGAAACACTCATTGTAAATGTTTTACTTCCCTTATCGTATGTGCAATAATGTTTAATCCATGTAAAACCAAGTGGTCCTAATATAAGGAAACAAAAACATTCCAGATTTTGTTAATAAACGATACGATTTGTGCCTAAGTTTGTATATTTTCCAGTGCTATGATCCACAATTGAGCACCTCCATATACCATGCTAGCTCGGCACATTTCCTGTGAGTGAGAAAGGCCAGTATGGAGAGACAGTGGTACAGGACAGAGTGTCTTGGAATCAAAAAACTTTGTTTTACTTGCAACTCTGACATTGACTCTGTTAACTTACAAGTTACCTTAGATCTGAACTTCAGTTTTCTCATCTGTAAAAGTGGTATACTTGTACCCCATAGAGGCAGGAAGAATAAAAAATAATAGTCTGAGTTTACTAAAAATGGTCTCCTTACCCTTGTTCTCTAACCTCAAAACCATCGGAAATAATCCTGCTAAATATTTAGGCAGGTCATTTCACTCCTTGGTCCTCCCATAGCTTCTCACTTCACTCTGGATAAAAACCAGAGTCTATTATCCGCAAGGCCCCACCTGATCTGCCCCCTCTTCTTTTTCTCACCTCTCTGCTGCAGCTACACTGGCCCCTGCAGGGTCGTGACGACAGTGACTCCATTCCTACTCCAGGGCATCTGTACTCACTGTTTCCTCAGCCTGGACTACTTTCCCTTCAGAACCTGCATGACGTGCACTGTCACCTCCTGCAGGTCTTCTCCTAAATGCCACCTTCATAAGGTGATCTTTCCTGAGGTGATATCTTACATCTCAACACCCTCACTTTGATATTTCTTACTTCTCTTTCCTTACTTTCCTTTCTTCTTAGCAATCATCACTGTCTAAAATCTGATACATTTTGCTAATTTATCTTATTTACTGTCTGTCTCCTCCACGAGACTCTAAGGCTATATGACAGCAGAAACATGTGATGTTCAGTTGACAAGAATATTCTTAATTCTTAGAATGGGGCCAGGCATGCTATACAGTTGTTGCTCAATAAATGTTTAAAAATGAATGAAGGAGTGAATCATTCATCTTGCTCTAAGACTTTACTGACCTTGGAGTTATATCCTCTTACCACTAATCTGAAAAAAAAAACGAATTCAAATTACTCCTTAAAATGAAGAAAATTTCCACTATTTAAATTAAAAGAAACTTGTATATGTGTAATGTTCACTTTCTTTTTTCCCATAAATTCTGTGCAACCCTTTCCCACAGTACACCATGTTATCATCCAGTACTTTCCTTTAACAACTGGAGGCTGCTGCTTCACGGGGGAGCCAGACATATTGTATGTCCAATTTTTTCAAGACCAGTGTAGGAGACATTCAGTTTTCCCACAGGGAAGCCAGGTATCCTCCACCCCAATGTCATGGTGGGCGGAGTGAATTCAAAAGGTAGCTTGTTTTCTATATAGCTTCTCTATCCAGGGACCCATCCTCTGTTAACACCTCAATTTTTCTAGTAACAACTATGCACAATGTTATTGCTGGCTTGATTTCAGATTTCATACTTAAAAGCAAGCAATTAAAATGTTAAAAAAGCCCCTCTTGAGAAAGAGTGTTTCATGAGCCATTTAAATTTCTTTCTTTAACAATGGTGCCCTTGGAGTCAAGTTTAACTTTAATACTTAAGCCACTCCAGATTTTCAAATTTGGGGGTGCAGTTATATACTTTGTAATCACAAAGGATTATTGCAGTTAACTTCAGTTCCATTATGGGATCATTTCACACTATAAAGCTTGACAATACTTGTTGATAATTCTGTTACACACGATGTAAAATACCTAATATTTAAGTCTTAGAGATGATTAGTGGGAAGTGGCTGGATAGAAGTTCTCTCAGTGACTTTCTACTTAGGTAGCAATTTATAGAGCAATATCAGCTATAATTTTAAAATAAAGCTGCTGCAATGTTCTGATGACATTTTAAATGTAAGATGTTTTTTTCCTGCCTCCATCTGAAGTTCAGAACGTCTTGCATTTAATCTTCAAGTTTGCTGCACACACACAAGCTGCTTTCTTTGGAGTTGCCTGGCATGAGGCCAGGGCAGATGTTCTTAGGCAAGCAATTCTAAAGTCCCTAAAAGTGTCTGGGAAAATATAAATTTATTACAGCTGTAAAGTTGCAAAATAAAAGAAGTTTAATTATCTTACCCAGTAATTATCTGAGGTTGCTGAGATGAATATTTGAGGAGTGGGAGGGGAATTAACATTCACTGAATACCTACTAAGTGCCAACATTTTATCTAAGAACCTTTCAAGTCAGATGTTATAAAGAGTATTTTGCACATAAGAAAAGGGAGCCTATAAGCTGCAGATGGCAATGCTTTCTTCAATAGGGCATGTGATTGGACTTGTTCTTCTTAGAGGAATGATATTCTCAACAGTTGTTTTAAAAACTAAATGAGATAAATGTAAATTGCACAGAATAGTAAGAGCTTGTGGTAAGCACAGTATTATTATTAATGCCACCGCTGATAAGAGAGGCATTTTACATACATTATCTCTAATTCTTGCAATATCATTCTGAGATAGGTATAAATATCCCTCTTTTATAAATGAGGAGACTAAGCTCAGAAAACTGTAAGAGTCACACAGTTAATAGGTGACAGATGCAGAATTCCAACACAGGTTTGTCAGACTCTGGAACCCATGCTCTTCCTGGTTAAACTGAAGTGTACTAGAATGTGATTTACTGCATGCCTAGAGGTGGACAACACAGAAACCACGCATCCAGATATAGTGGAGCTCTGTGCCCAAACTACAACAATCTGCTTCTACCCACCCCCCCAATCCATCTCCATTTACCATTCAATTTACAGCCCTGATATTTACTATAGATCACTGGCTGTTAACTGTGTGAGTTTGTCTTTTAAATAAAACCCCTGAAGCTGAATTCCTTATCTCATTTCCTGTTTCCCACAGAACTTATTCATTCAGTGATAGCAAGCACACAATCAATTATCTTAGTGAACTGGTTAGATTTTCTTATTATAAATGCTTTCAAAGATTCCAAGTTGTAAGGAGCTTTGAATATTTGCCCCTCACATAGAAATAATTCCAAAAGCATATAAATCCACTCATTTTTCTTTTTTAAATTTCTAGGCCAGGGGAAATGGGGAGGATGAGTGGGAATAGACAGGAGGGAGGGATTATAATTGGACAAGAGAGAATTTTGAAAGTGGTGAATATGTTCATTTTGATGTTGGACTATGGTGATGGTTTCACAGGTGCATGCATATGACAAGATGACAAGACATCATCTTGCACATTTTAAAGAGGCACAATTATATGCCAGTTATACCTTAATAAAGCTCTAAAACTAATGTAGACAAATAAAGAGAAAATCAACATGGAAGAAGGCAACATCGAAAGAGAGTGTGTTAATAAAAAGAGAGGGAGAGTCCCTTGTGAGAGACTCCAATGTCAGGCACTGTGAAGGGGGTCTCACAACAGCGTCATGTAACCAAACAAGCTTTTAGAAGGATCCACTGGAAGCTCTGTAGAGGATGGATTGGAGGGTGAGCAAGACTAGAGGCACAGAGAGAGCAGTTAGGAGGTCTGGCCTGGGCTAAAATGATGGACATGGAGAGAAGGTGCAAGACAAAGGATATCAAGGAGAGAGATTCAACAGATTTGGCTGCAGGCCAGAGAGAGACTGGAGCAAAGGATTACCTTGAGCTCTGTAGCCTAGGAAGGTGGGTGGTGTCATTAAGAGAGAGTAAAAACCTCAGAGAAAAAGGTCAGTACCACAAAGGGCTTTATAACCAGTTCACAGTGACCCAGAGGAGAAGCCAGGTTATGTTAGAACAAAAGATACCAACATCAGGTAAATGCACAAAACACTGTGCTCAGTACACCCGTGTAACCCCCAAGTTATTAAACACCTGTGCTTCTCGACTGTTTGATCCAAATGTCCAATGGCTTGGGAACAGGTAAGCAAACCACAGTACTAGCCAATGAATGTACTACCAAGTAATGACTGAATATGATATATTTGAAGGTTATGTACACAATAATTTTGCTAGGTAATCCAAAGCTTTTTTTGTTTAGAATAAAATATCGTGTACCCACAAAAATTTAAGCAACTGTGTAACACCTGGAAAAGAACTCAAGCAATAAAATAATGGGTCCCAATGAATAAATATCCTGAGTTGCAAGGATGACACCTCCTCTACCAACTGCATGGCTGAAGAGCTCTCGCTCTTCAAATTGTTCCATTTGGCCAAATTCTTTATAAATACAAAATGTGAGCTCCTCTCAATGAAACCTCACACTGGGGCTCCAAACCTGAAAGTTATTTAAAACAAGTATTTGAAAGTTTCCTTAGAGTCCTAAGTGAAATCTCTATAGAAATCCCTATATATAAACCAATAAATCGGTCATTTTCCATGAGTTGGGGGTGAAAGCTATTTATTATGCTTTAATTATACAGTAGCTAAAAAGGTCGTTAAGATTTATCACTTTAAGATCTGAGACCAGCAAACTGGTCAAGGTAGATAGATGTAAGAGAGAAAAGCCTAGAACTCAGATCTCCTGAGCCAGCCTCCCTCTGCCATCTAGTCCATGCAGTAATAAATGTTTGCCAAGTCTCTGGGATCAAATCACTATTTTCTTGTATACTGCTATCAAACAAATGAACATCATCTGGGTATGTCAGATATAAAATGTATTGGCATTTTAATGACCATGTTACATATACGTCAAAAACCTTTTATGGTCACCCTGATATCTCTAGGCTTCCCCATCCCAAATCCTTTAACTAAAATAGTTTGCCAACCAGAACAACTTCATTATTCTATTGTCTACGGACACAGAAACTTTAAAGCAGTGCTACTCCATGTGGTATGTGAGTCTCAATATGTGAGAAGAGTACAGAAGGTATGAATAAGCATTTCAGAACTTTTACGGCAACTTGACATTGGTGCAAAATCCAAGTACGTGATTTTGTGTTTTACAAAGATGTTTTGGTCCATGATGGATTGCAAATAAAAACGACTATTTCTTCCCATAAACAGTATGAGAATGACGCTTTAGGGCATAACTGGTTTGACACAGAAAGTTAATTTAGTCCAAACAGTCAAACTCGATCCACTTAATGACAAGTAACATGTAGCTAGCACCCTGGTTACACAAGTTTGAATGGCTTTTTATTAATTTTGGTGAGAAAAACTTTCTTAGTTTGAGGCAATTACAGTAGTGCTCTACTGGGTCTGGTACTTATTTCCTAACCTCAGGAAGTACAGAGTTCCAATTTGACATTACGTACTTGCCAGTTTTCCTCCTGAAAACTGATGGAGCACAGAAGTAAATGAAATGATGCTGCTGGAGGAAAAAATGATGATCATAGTCACTGGGGTGATTCAGCCTGAAAAAGGCTCTGATTTTCAATTTTCCATGAAACTTTAAAATTGAGATTAGATATCGAAGTAAATGAAATGATGCTGCTGGAGGAAAAAATGATGATCATAGTCACTGGGGTGATTCATCCTGAAAAAGGCTCTGATTTTCAATTTTCCATGAAACTTTAAAATTGAGATTAGATATCACAATTAAATTCTAAAACGATGTTACTATAACATCAGTGAAGACTGTACATTTCAAGTGCAGCACATACCAACTTAGAGATCCTAATGGCAAAATGTGGAAAAACTTTCTCACTTTGGTAGTGGTGGTGGGAGAGCAGACTATTTTAAATATTATAAAGCTATAAGGAATTTCAGTCTTCCTACCTGAAGGAAGTAATACTAACCACATCACATCTCACAGAGACAAAATGTTAAGTCATAAGAGACATGAAGTTATGTCTTTGGGACTCACGTTTCTCCTGGACGTAAAGATAGCCTTCCATCGTCCACTGGCTGGGTGGTCTGTAGTCCTGGTTGGCAGATTTCATCCTCTGCATCAACCGCTCTACCTCTTGTCGAGTACTTTCAAAATTATTCCTTGTCTTAAGTAAACAGAAACAACAATTTCATTCATTGTTTCCTAAGAGGTTTAAGAAGCCTCCTGTCTAAAGTTTCAAAACTGCAAATGGTACGAAGGGTAACCTTGATTCTCAGCACCATTCACTACATCTGTGACCCTGAGATGTTGAGTCCTGTGCTCGAATTTTGAAGCTTTAGTGAAAACTATTCCGAATGACCTTCTGCAGGTTTCACTTTGAAACTCTCCGTGTGCGTGTGTGTGAGAGAGATTTTCTTCCTATTTTCACACTCTAACATTCTTACTTAGGGGGTAAACTATAGCATCAAAAAATACATAAGATTCATTAAATAGAGTTTTGAATTCCCTAATACCTAAGGTAAAAAGCAGATACAAATACGAAGACTTAATTTCTTTTGAGGGGGAAAAAACCCCCAAATTACATTCACATACTTTTGATATATGTGGCACTGAACAAATCATGAAAAAAGTTCACCACCATTATTCTAAAAAGCTTTTTTAGAAGAAACATCATATAGCTTGGCTTCCAGAAATACTAACATAATTTTTAAGAGTATATAAATTAACTCATAAAAATCAATAGGTTTCCCAGTTCTAACTTCTTCTGTTGCAAGAACTAGTTAACTCACTTTATAGTGAGTTTACTTAGCATACAGGAGACGTTAGGCTTTACTCTGAGAAAATCTCTTGCATTCAGGCCACATTACCTCAACAACAGGTATTCGAAAATATAAAAATCACCCCCACCTAACTCTAAGATCCTGTTATGGCCGATACTAAAAGAACTGATTCTCAAAGTAGATTACGAAAATTTTCTTGTCACTTTTGCTGTTTTTCTTTTTAAAACAAGAATCCAAATTTTTTCCAATTCCGTACTCTTCTCCTGTTCCCAAATCCCAGGGAACTTAATGTAACTGTATGTCTTTAATATGGAAATAAATCATAAAAATACTTTGGCTTTTATAATTTCCCTTTTAATATTTACTGAAAAAGTCCATATGCACTCCATGTTGAAAAACAATGGAATAGATTAAATGTGAAATCAATTCTGCTAGAAAATGTAAGTTAAATAAAAGCTAAAACTCAAAACACAAGTAGAATAAATCCAATTACATATTTCTCATGGCACACTCCAACTCTGTAGTTTTATTTACTGAACATCCCCACAATGGCAAGAAGCAGATAAGCAGGAAAACACAAACTTTTTATGGAAAATTAAGTGAAAGCTTTCCAAATTATTTTGGCTATAGAGAACTAGACAGTTGGGGTTCCAGTCACAGAAAAACCTCAACAATCAGGACCTTCATTATTTGTCAGGTTTGATAATACAGAAATGGGTTGGCCAAAGATTTTTTTTTAATTGTAAGTGCTGCTTAGCATTTGAAAAATCATGATTTGTATAACTATGCAATCAGAGATTAAAAGGACTGATAGCAACTTTATAAAACAAAAACTGATAGAAATAGGCTGTTTGTAAATAATTCTTATGCTTTAAAGCAGTTATTTTGAATGCTTCAAAACACATTCTACTTTATAATTTGAAAATAATATCAGATATATTATATAAAATTTCAGAGAGAGATGAGACCTTAGAGCATTAAAGTATCTTCATCTCACAAATACAGATAAGCTACCCTCTCTCAGAAAATAAGATTTTCCTAAGATCGGTCACCCAGTAATTTTTTCCCCAGGTTCACTGAGGCATAATTTACAGATAAAAATTATACATATTTAAGGTGTATGATGTGAAGTTTTGATGTACATATACATTGGGCAATGATTACTGTAGTCAAGTTAATTAACATATCCATCATCACACAGTTATTATTATTATTATTTTTTTGGTGGTGGAAACACTTAAGACCTACTCTTTTAACAAATTTCAAGTATGCAATGCAGTATTATTATTATATATATTTTTTGGACCAGTGAGGGGATCGCAACCCTTGGCACGGTGTTGTCAGCACCACGCTCAGCCAGTGAGCACACCGGCCATCCCTATATAGGATCCGAAGCTGTGGCCTCGGTGCTACCATGCGTGAGCCATGGGGCTGGATAGTCACCATGACCAGTGAGGGGATCGCAACCCTTGGCACGGTGTTGTCAGCACCACGCTCAGCCAGTGAGCTCACCGGCCATCCCTATATAGGATCCGAAGCTGTGGCCTCGGTGCTACCATGCGTGAGCCATGGGGCTGGATAGTCACCATGCTATACAAGAGATCTCTAGAACTTATTCATCCTGCCTCACCCAGTAAACTAACAAGAACACTGAATAAAGGCAAAAGTTTCCAAACTTCCAGGTGTCCACACTTTGGTAGTATTTATTTTTATAAAATTTTCTAGTATAAATTTTTCTAACCTAAGATTAGTTCTTTCTTGGCATACTTTCAACTAGCAACTAGAAAAAAAATTTTTAAATAAATTTATAAAGTGGCTTTTCTAATTTAGTAGATTATACTATAGCTAGACAAGTTTTTGAAAGATTCTAAGGCTTGACTTGGTTATAACTTAATTGTCAGGTGATTATCACATTCCCTAAGGAGAGGCAGTAAGAACAGGTATATAGTCTTACATTCTGCAAGTTGAACTGCAGCTGTTGCTTATATGGTGCAAATTCCTGGGCGAGTTCATATCCTTCGTGGTAAAAAGTAAATAAACCCTGAAGGAATGACAAAAGCTGCAAAGATAAAGAGATTAAAAGCAAACAAACAAACATGAAAACTTGTTTAAAAAAAGATAATTATCAAAGGTAAAATATCGAGGAAATTATATTTCATTCTAATTCTTCAAACTAAGAAATTTTCAGTCTTTTTGTTTGGAAAATTTTGTTGTCAGGCAATAAAATTATGGAGATAACACAGAAATCTCAAAAGCAAATTTTGTCTTCCTTTTTGGTAGTCAATGATTTAATTTTTGAGTCTCGTCATGGACAGCTGTCATGGTAACTACTCTACTATTCAAATGCATTGAAGAAATATCCAGAAGAGACCGCTAAGGGGCATAAAGACCTAAGCAGCATTGGTCCTACCTTTGAAGAGCTTCTAATCCAAAGGTTTACAGATGAGAAGTATCCAAGGAAAGGAGTAANCGGTGTTGTCAGCACCACGCTCAGCCAGTGAGCACACCGGCCATCCCTATATAGGATCCGAAGCTGTGGCCTCGGTGCTACCATGCGTGAGCCATGGGGCTGGATAGTCACCATGCTATACAAGAGATCTCTAGAACTTATTCATCCTGCCTCACCCAGTAAACTAACAAGAACACTGAATAAAGGCAAAAGTTTCCAAACTTCCAGGTGTCCACACTTTGGTAGTATTTATTTTTATAAAATTTTCTAGTATAAATTTTTCTAACCTAAGATTAGTTCTTTCTTGGCATACTTTCAACTAGCAACTAGAAAAAAAATTTTTAAATAAATTTATAAAGTGGCTTTTCTAATTTAGTAGATTATACTATAGCTAGACAAGTTTTTGAAAGATTCTAAGGCTTGACTTGGTTATAACTTAATTGTCAGGTGATTATCACATTCCCTAAGGAGAGGCAGTAAGAACAGGTATATAGTCTTACATTCTGCAAGTTGAACTGCAGCTGTTGCTTATATGGTGCAAATTCCTGGGCGAGTTCATATCCTTCGTGGTAAAAAGTAAATAAACCCTGAAGGAATGACAAAAGCTGCAAAGATAAAGAGATTAAAAGCAAACAAACAAACATGAAAACTTGTTTAAAAAAAGATAATTATCAAAGGTAAAATATCGAGGAAATTATATTTCATTCTAATTCTTCAAACTAAGAAATTTTCAGTCTTTTTGTTTGGAAAATTTTGTTGTCAGGCAATAAAATTATGGAGATAACACAGAAATCTCAAAAGCAAATTTTGTCTTCCTTTTTGGTAGTCAATGATTTAATTTTTGAGTCTCGTCATGGACAGCTGTCATGGTAACTACTCTACTATTCAAATGCATTGAAGAAATATCCAGAAGAGACCGCTAAGGGGCATAAAGACCTAAGCAGCATTGGTCCTACCTTTGAAGAGCTTCTAATCCAAAGGTTTACAGATGAGAAGTATCCAAGGAAAGGAGTAAGAATTTGGCCAGATGAAATGAAGAAAAGTATCACTAGGTGGCAGCACTGATGCAGGTACTGAATAGACATTTTAGCAAGGAGCGGGAAGAAGTCAAAGCAGAGGGAAGAACTGAGGAAAAATGTTGAATGGAACTAGCTAACATAGATTTTCCATGTCAGAGTTAGAGTAAAATCATTAGACAACTGCAATTTCTACAATCCGAGCCTTCTAATCTCAAATCCATGTGTGCTTAACGTATTATGTTTTATATGTAAAGTAAGACTGGCTCTCCATGGAATTACAGGACAGAGTTGTTCATATGGAATAAGTCATATTTGAAAAATAATCGATTTAAATTGTTTCACTTAATTGAGATTTTATTCCACAGACTTGTTCACTACCTTGATCTCTTCCACAAATTGTTCCCGCAATAAAGTTAAAAAATATATCTTAAAGGTGGCTTATAATATGTCTGTAACTTATTTTAAATTAAGAAGAAACACAGTTTGAAAACATTTTCACATGTGAATAACATCCCACCACTTCCTCTGCCTGGGAGGCAGGGAGGATTCAGCTAAGCACCAACTTGTATGTGTGCTATGACTTCCAGCAGATAAATACTGGTTCTATCAGAAAACAATGACCTAATGCTTTTCTTCTTATAAACAAGTCACTTGCAAACAAAATTATGTTCATTTCAGAAAGCACAGGTTTTCAAATTGTTTTTGTTACTATATTTTAAAAACTTCTCTTCTTTTGTTCAATAGTTCCTGACATTGTGCCAAAATGTATTTTTTGCCAATTTTATATTTCATACTCTCAGTTTTACATCAACTGATATTTACCATCAAAACTAAATATTCAATGGATTATCCTAAAATAATACTACAGTTTGTCAAATTATCCAATAAAATACATGGTCTGCCCGAATGCATATACTTTGGCCTAAGTAAACTGAACTGCAGATTAAACTCAGATTAAAATATACTTTTAATTAGAGTTTGGATATGTAGATTTAGAGCTTTTCAGAAATAAAATAAGAAACACTTTAGAAATATATAGATAACACTAGTCTTCTGAATATCCGAATGATATTTTATAAAGTTGTTAGAGGAGTATTGTTTCCTGTTTTACCATCTATAATTAGTCCACAATTACACTGTCTCATTGAAAACTGTATGCCATACAAAGCAGATGCTATTGTAAAATCACCATAATTACAAAAGTGAATTAAACTTACAAAGAAGACATTTTAATGACATCTGTGAGGACTTTTTCTATAAAACACCTAATCCCCTGAGATATACCTTTTCTAATATTCTGAGTTTTCAGAACATGGGGAAAAAAACAAAGCACACTGATGTTTCAGAAATATGAAGTAAACCATTAGTACCATACCTAGATCTCTCCTAAAAATTTTAACAAATGGTAAATTGTAATCTTTAGGCCACAGAAGTTCATGATACACACACACGCACACACACACACAAATTTTTAAAAATTTTTTATTGAATCATAATTGATTATACATATTTTTGTGGTTCAACGTTGACATGC